TCTCCTCCCTACCCCCCTTCTGTTATTTGCAAGCCTTTATCAGCTCCAGCACCGGACATTTGTTATTTATTGTTTATTTATTTATATCTTTGATTTGTATACTGCCCTTTACCCAAGGGTCTCTGGGCTAATTAGTTCCTATCCTAGGGCCACAATTCGACTGGGGGAGGGGCTACCTATTGACACCCAGGCGGCGCGGTCCTGTTGTATTCCACGGGCGGGCTTCCGTTGTTTCTTCCTGGCACCTTAGGACGGGTCGACAACATCTCCCGGCAGGCTCCTGATGGACTCCTCCGGCGCGCGGCAGCTCCCGATTGCAGTTCCGGCCTTTGTCCCTTAGGTGCCATCGCGCCGCCGCCATAGCTCCGCCTCCATCCGGTCTCCACCGCCGCCGTATCCACGGGTCGCCTCTGCTCTGCCGCCGTATCGCTGCCGCCACCGCCAACACTCCTAGCACACACCATCAGGAGGAGGGTGCCCCCTGCCAACCTAGGGCAGGTACCCATTTGTCTACTTGCGGTTACGCTTTCGAGCCGCTGGGTGGGCGGGAGCTGGGACTTGGGCCAGGAGCTCACCCCGGCCGCGGTGGGTCTCGAACAGCCGTAGTGGCTGTTCGCTAGTGTTGTTAATGCAGGCGTTGAACTGCCTGCGTCACCGCTCCCTGGACTGAGTGGTGTCCTGGAATGAGTGGTGCCCCCCGGGGCATCCAGCTTTACCTCATTTCCTTAACAGTCTGTGCTGGCAGAGCCAGCCCCCCACCCCCGTACCAGGAGGGCTTGTACCTCCACGTGCACCTCCACAAACCGCCCCGGGGGCTCACCCCACAGGGTGGCCAACCCCAGGATGGGACTAGTCAGTGGGATATGCAAGCCCTTCATGGTCTGGGACCGACACCTCTTCAGGACTGCCTTTCCTGGCGTGCCCCCCAGATAACAACACACTGACGCGGCCCCCCGGGGCCAAGGAAGACTCGCCTGGCCTCAGCTCCCGCTTGGCGGAAGGCTCTTCCCAGCCAGGGAGATCCGGGCCCCGCGGGGCTTGGCTCAATTTCCGCAGGACCAGGGAAGCGGAGATGTCCCGCCAAGCAGACGGGGGAGGCCAGGAGAATTCCTGCTCTCGTGGTTCTTCCTGGCCCCTCTCCCCCCTTTCGTTCTTCCCCTGGGACAGGGATCCTGTTATTATATGTAAATACTTGCACCTGGATTTGTTAAATGCAGGTGTTTTAACTGTCTTGTAAACTGTTTATTATACGTTGTGATCTGCTCTGAGCCCCAGGAGGACCGTGGGGAAGAGGAGACTAGAAGAATACACACACACACCCCTACACACACACACACACACACACACACACACACGCTGCCACAGAGACTCCACCCTCCACGGCAGCCGTTTCCTCCAGGGGAACTGATCCCCGTTGTCTGGAGAGACCCCTTGTTGTGATTCTGGGAGAAGGCCTCCCGGCCCCACCAGCGCAGCAGGGATGACAGGAGGCGCTGCCCCAGCCCGGGCACGTCCCCATCTCGAGCCAAACTGGGTGAGAGGTCCAAGGGAGGGGCCACGCCCAGGATGCAGGCCGCTGGCCCGGGGGAGGCTGGCAGGGTGCCAGGAAGCACCTACAGAACCCCAGAAGGGAGGAAAGGCCTGCCTCTCCCCCACCCCACCCCCACCCCCCCGTGGAGCCCGAGAAGAAGGTCTTTCCACAGCGACTCCTTCTGGAGTGGTCCTCACGGCTTTAGAGGGAAAGGAGGGCATTTGGAGACAGTGGCCACTTCCACACTGTCATTTTTGTCACTGGTTCGTCCCTATTGCTTCAGGGTTCCCACCCCCCATGTGTTTTATTTCTCTAGTAGTCCCAGAGGGAGCAAAACACATGTGGAAGGGGGGGGGGACCCAAAGCAATAAGGGAAAACGAGTGACAGAAGTGGCGGTGCAGAGGTGGTCTATATAGGCAGCCCGTCCCCCCCCACCCCCCACTTGCAACGGCTTCTCATCCCAACAGAGGCACAAACCCAGGGACCAAACTCTGCAAGGGACCTGGAGGGCCCCTGTGTGCTCCGGCGGTCCTCAGCCAGTCTGACAGAGGCCGTCCTGGGCCAACAATGCCCTTCCACAATCTACGCTGGGCGGATGGGTTTGTTCTGGCATGAGAGAACCCATGGACAGAGATCTGACGGAAGACATTGCAGTTCTCAAAAAGGAGCCAGTGAACATTGTGATCATCTTCCCAGACATACCCTTTGCAGATCTGGAAGCTGCTGTTCTGCCCCCTCTTGTTTTCCCCCCCCCCCCACCCCCCCCCCCCATACAATGTGGGAGTGCAAAATTAGAACTCATCAAGAAAGGGAACACTGCCAATTTATAATTTCTTGAGATCCTTCAACAGCTCTTATAATAGCTAATAATCACCCAACAGGACCCACTTTTGGGGAACTGTCGTAGGCTGCCGGTATCCCCTTTTCTCAGACTGCACACCCGGCGTCCTCTTCCGCAGGCGCGAGGCGAGCGCGCGGTGCGTGCCGGGAGTCGTAGTCCCCGCCCGGCGTCCGCCTCGCGGGGCCTCTCGGGAGCGTGGGCGAGGCTGGGCCTGGGCCGCGCGGGGCGTGCCGGGAGTCGTAGTCCCCCACCCCCAGCCTGGCCGGAGGGAGGGAGGGAGGGCGAGCGGCAGAGCCACCACCGGCTGGGGCTGGGCGCCCGGAGGAGCCAGCCAGCCAGCCAGCCATGCAGAAATACGAGAAGCTGGAGAAGATCGGGGAGGGTGAGCGGCCGGGCGACGGGCGGGGGCCGGCGGGTGCAGCGGCGCCTCCCGGGGCAGGGTCTGCGGGAGGGAGGGAGGGAGGGAGGGA